TTCATGTCTGAAGCTGTTGAAGCACATAACATTCGTAGATACTCCTGGAGTTTTATCAGGAGAAAAACAACGAACACAACGATCCTATGATTTTACAGGTGTAACATCATGGTTTGCTGCAAAATGCGATCTTATTCTTCTTTTGTTTGATCCTCACAAATTAGATGTAAGTGACGAATTCAAGCGTGTAATATATTCTTTGCGTGGTCACGATGGCAAGATTCGTGTGGTTTTGAACAAGGCAGATCAAGTTGATACTCAACAAGTAAGCAGTATGGCAGCCTTATTTCTGACTACTAATCTTTCCTTTGATGTTTGGATCTTCACGAGCTTATATATTTTCCTTCTACCGTAGTTGATGAGGGTATATGGAGCCTTAATGTGGTCACTCGGGAAAGTCCTTAATACCCCTGAGGTTGTGCGCGTGTATATTGGGTAAGCCGTTCCTGTTTGTCAATCTTTATCGTAAAGAATGAAATGAACGCGTCCCAATGTTTCTTGACCATCTTGGTCTCATCTATTGATGTTTAATATCTCTTCCTTGGCAGTTCATTCAATGACAAGCCAGTAAATGAAGCCGCAACAGGTCCAATCGGGAAAGAATTGTTTGAAAAAGAACAAGAGGACCTTCTTTCTGATCTGAAAGATATTCCGAAGAAGGCCTGTGATCGTCGAGTAAGTTTATTTTTACTATTGTTGTGAAAAAGGTCTTTTTCTCTAACAAGCTGCATGTTGAAGACAGGTTTCCGTACGTTGTTTACCTGCAGATAAATGAGTTTGTGAAACGCGCTAGAGCTGCCAAGATTCATGCTCATATCATTGGTCATCTTAAGAAGGAGATGCCTTCTATGATAGGGAAAGCGAAAACTCAACAGAAACTAATCGATAATTTGGAAACCGAATTTGGAAAAGTATCCTCTCTCTTCTCTCCACTTAATGTGCACGCGCGTGCATGTATCTTGCAAGTTTAAATCGACACTAAATTCTTTCATAATGCATCAGTTGCTTATGCAGAAATCTATTTGCCATACAGGTTCAGAGAGATCATCACGTACCACCAGGGGATTTTCCAAATGTGGATCATTTTAGGGAGGTTTTGACTGGTTACAACTTTGACAAATTTGAGAAACTGAAACCTAAAATGATTCAAGCCGTTGATGACATGTTGGGTTACGACATCCCCGAACTTCTGAAGACATTCAGGAATCCCTATGATTAAAAACCGATATGAATTTCGCGGCGGCGTACAGACCATCACGATCAAAATTGGATTTTTCTCAACAAAAATCTTGATTCTAATTATCAATCTTGAGGCGAATTTGTTGTAAGATTACATCAGTATTAGCTATTAGAGCTGTACCAAAATGAATATTTATCCTTCCGTTATCTAAACCCCTTGGATCCTTTTATTCTGTGCTCGTAGCAGACTGACAATGATTCTGAAATCAAATATTATTTGTAATAGAAGCCGGATCATTTGCAGTCTTATCATCAAGAAATTTCCATTAATTTGAATACTTTGAACAATGAGATTCAAGTTCTATATCCTTAAAGCATAAAAAGCATACAAGTAGTCTAAAAAAAGGGTAAAAAATTACTTCTGTTTCTTATCATGAGGTCTCTTTCCACCAACCCCACCACCATTGATGTTACTGCTGTTGAAATATCAACACCAATATTAAATTAAGTTTATGTTATAGTTAATAAATGTGGTTAACTTTAACTTAAAAATCTAGTAGTTTATTTAATGTTTGTGAATGTTACGTGGTTCTTTGCCTATATAAAAGACACTTTATGTTATCTTTCAAGTACATCATAATAAATCAAGTATCATCTTTCATTTGTTTCTTTCTTCCTCTAATTGTTTTGAGCCTTTGTTGTCCTGTGAGGTGTTCAACAATTAGTATCAGAGTTTTGGTGAGGGTTGTTCGGTTGTTGCTAAAGTAGTGTGGTAGTGTGGTAGTGTGACGGTGCATGTTTAGGAAAGTACTTGAAAAACTTGGTATTTAAGCGATCTGTGTGATCCACACCTCTTTTTCTTGGGGACTTACCTGGTGTATTGTTTACAAACTACTTTCACTGTTTCATTTAATTTTGTGAGAAATCTTTGTCAGCATTATGACTTACATACTGTTAGCCGAATGAGAAAACTTAACAATGACAACTACAATACATAATCAACTTGCATGATGTCATATATGCAAGGACAATACCTATGAAAGATTGTCAATGAAAATGAAGTGGAGCAACCGGATGCAAATGACATACTAAGAAAATGGAAGAAAAAGCAGACAAAGTCATGTTCGCCCTGTAGACAACAGTGGAAGAAGATATGATTGAACACATCCATGATGCCAAAACCCCAAATGAAGCATGGAAAATATTTACATTGTTCTCTAAGAAGAACGATACAAAGCTCCAACTTCTGGAGAGTGAATTGTTATCTATGAAGTAAGACAATATGACGATCAAACAATACTTTCACAAAGTAAAGTTGTTATGCCGAGAGATTTCTGAGTTGAACTCAGCAGCTCCTATTGGTGATACCAAGATAAAATAGATCATTATCTTATGTCGAGTTCAGGAGTTTTGTGACTGCTATACAAGAATGTCAAAATCAACCATCACTTATAGAATTTAAAAATTTGTTAACTAGTCAAGAAGCATTAGCTATACAAATGGGAGGAATCTCGTTGAAAAGAAAAAGAAAAGGCACTCTATGTCAATAGAGGCAAACTAAATTTCAACTAACGTGACAATGATAGTTTCAACTAATTTAAACTAAATTAGGGAGAAGGGAGCTCTTGTAAAGGGGGAGGTTCTAAAAACCATGACAACCATAAAAGATTTGAAGAGAAGTGTTACAACTGTGAGAAGAAATGTTACATGGCAAAAGCTTGTTGGTCGAAGAAAAAATCTGCAAAGAGTAATGTTGTTACTTTCAACAATGAAGAAAAAATATTCAATAAGGTGGAGCTTTGGTCAGAATTATTAAAACCAGAAAGTGCAAAATGGTTGGAGGTCTCAGGTGTCCCCCTTCATTGCTGGAACGGAACAACTCTTAAGAGGGTGGCAAAATTGTGGGGGTCTTTTGAAGCATTTGGAGAAAATTTAAACCGTGTGCATGACTGTGAAAAGGTAACAGTATTGATTTTCAAAGTCAAGCTAAAAGGATTGATGAAGTGATAGAATTAGAAGTTGGAAGCTTCGTCTATGAGATTCGGGTGGTGGAGCTAGGATTCAAGGACATTACATCTGATCCATTAAAAGCTATGAATCGCTTTCAATAACAAGAGCTTAATGCCGGCTTGAAATCAGAAAGTCGGTCGGAACTATCGTCGGAAAATGTTTTACCGGTAGGAGAATATAGCAACTGCTCAGTCGAAGATGAAGCATTATAAGCTGTGTTTGTTGGTAAAGATTGTAATAATAACCAAAACCATGCGGCTGAGGTCGTGGAAAGACAATTAGGGGAGTCAGTTATGTGAGCTCCGGGCTCAAGGACTCCTTGAATGCAGGTGAAAATTAGGTACTTTTGTTGTACGAAAATTTAATATAAAGTTAAAAAAGATTTTATTGAAAATATTAATATTTTTTTAATATTTTCGGTAAAGATTATTTAAAATATTATTTTTTTATCGAAAATATTAATTTTACTACTTAAAATGACAATTTAAGTATTGTCCGATATTAATATTTTTGATAAAAAAATAACATTTTAAGTAACATCTATTAAAAATATTAACAATAATATTTTTTTTTGTCTTATATTAAGCTATTAATCTTATACCTCAGAAAATTACATCGATTTGGGTGAGAAAGAGAAGGGGTCTTTAAATCCAAGAGTAGAGAAAGAGACATTTGTTGCAAATAATAATAATTGGTTTGGCACTGTGCGTGGAGGAGTTAATCCATCAGAAAAATCTAGAAATGATAATGATGTTGAAAATCTTATCATTGGCCCGGACGTTACCCTTGTAAGGGCCTTAGAAGATGTGGGTAATATGGGCTTTAAAGTTGTGGGGGATTCAAGCTCATCTAAACAAAAGGAAAATAAGGGTACTTCGGCCGAAGATGTCGATGAAGGGTTCACTTCAACAACAAATAAGAAGCTTGGAGAGCAAAGAGAGGTCGATTATGTCTTAACTCAAAGCGAAGGAGAAGAAAACGTGGGCTTTTTACCTGACTAGCAAAATTTCAATTACAAATTGAGAACTAAGAAATCCAAGAAATACGGGTCTTTGCTGGATATTCAGGACAAGGCAATTTCTACTGTCGAGAAAAAGAAAAGAGATCGAGGATAGATCTCCACTAGCTTTTGGCGTGGGATTATGGCATTTTCTGCTGTAAGAGTTTTAAATTGTGCAATCTGTGATATTCCATTTGAAGTTTATTCTAATATGCTGAGAGTTCTTTGAAGGAGCTAGGTGGCAGCTTCGTAATGGTCGTATGGGTTAATTAGCATTTACGGTTAATGGCAAGTTGTCTAAGCCAAAGGTTGTCGTGGGTTTTGGTTCTTTGCTAGTCGTTCTTCTGGGTGGTTCTTGGTTTTGTCTCTGATGTAGTTCGATATTAGCTACTTGGTTGTGTTTTCTGTTGATTTGATCTTTGCGTGCCGCTGAATCTTTTTTCCATCGATGTTTTGCTCGAGTCTTGGCCAAGGGGTTGGAGTTGTTTGCTAAGGTGACTACTTTTGTGCTATTGGTTGTGGGCGTTTCGTCTCGGGTCTGTTATCGCCTTGGTTGTCCCAGGAGGTTTTGGTTCTTCGGTGAAGTTGATGGTGTCGCTCAATCAAGCCTGGACTTACAATGTGCTGTTCCATTTGTTTCTTTTTTTTTTCTCTAATTGTTTTCAGCCTTTGTTGGCCTATGAGGTGTTCAACTGCTGACTCTGTTTCTTCCATGATCATGATCACCTTCAACCTTCAAAATGAAGGTTTTCATTTTGAATAAACTATTTTGTCAATCGAGTCCTTTTTCTCTGATGAAACACAAGCACGACAATTATAATAATAGTATGTCTAGTTTTGCAACAATGAACAAGTGCTTCTTATTTTTGGTTTTTAATGATTATCGGAACACGACAAGGGCTGTTTTGACGAGATAGTCGGCAATAATGAAATTCGTCTTCTCCGACGGGTGAAACGCGTCCCAGAATATGTATTTATTGGCATCCGAACATGTAAGCGGGTTCCTTCTATCACACAGGTAACTCATCTCGAAGTATCCAGTCCCACAGCATGCTTTTTCTGCATTCTCGAATCCTGTTATAATTGTAAAAAATTTCGTCAGTTATGACCAAATATGTTGAAAACGCATGTTTTAATGCATGTGTGCTCACACCAGGGCACATGCAGGTCGGAAATGCATTTCGAACGCTCGACCGTGAGGCCTACAATGGCTTACCGAACCGAGTCGGATTATGAATCATTTCTAAGACTTTGTCGTAGGTGTTCAGCGTCACAATTTGGATTCCACCGAGTTCCTGATTCATCTCTGTGATGGTCCCCTGTAACTTCACATTGAAATCTTTAGCCACGTTGTTATACTCTTCGATGCATGCGCTTCCGTGGATGATGTTCGTCGTTCTTTCCAACGGTAAACATCCTATTGGAGCAAGGCCGGTTATTGCTACCTTCCGAGCTCCCAACTTGTAAAGCTCCCTGATGAAATTGCTGGCGATTCCTATCAGGAAATCCTTGTATTTATCGACCGAATACTGCGATGATCGGGTCGGTAAAATGTAGTAGTTCTCTAGGAAGTCATTGGTTCCTATGCTTAAAAGGTGCAACGATTCACTCAAAAGGTGACTAGCTTTGTCATTGCCTAGGTACCCTCTTAGCTTGCTCTGATATTCTCTGTAGTACTCCATTTCCTTCCAAAATGGTATCACTGACTGCAAAATCAAGGCCAAGAAAATGAGACTTAAATTTTCGGTAAGATGGTGTAACTATCAGTGAGCCGTTGCTTGACTTACCAAGATATCGGAGGTAGCATTGTCGTAACCGGTTCCAGCGGAAGCGAACGAGACCCCGGTAGCGAAATCTCGTATGTCATACTTGGGATCCAAGTAAGCAGGTATGGCCGGCTTGATCCCGAAGGCTTCCGAAATGAAGTCCGTGGCAATCCTACCATTGGAGAAACGTCCGGTCGGCTGACCACCAAAGTAATCCCGACCGTAGGGTGCGAAATTGCTCTTCAAGACGGTGGATATCTGATTGTTGTTCCCCGGATCAACCGTCGAATCTCCGAACACGATAACTGCAGGCACCATTGCACTTGTTGTTGGCATTTCCACAAGGAGATAAGCAAAAACCAACAACAAAACAGCCTTGATTGCCATATTAAGCTTTCATTCCAAAATTTGCAGGTTTCTGTATATAAAAACCAAAAGTTGGTGAAGAACCAGAGAAAATTAATGAAACAGATGGAGTTTGTTGAGACTTTTAAATTATTGTTTAAGGTAGGTGACAGAAGCATGGTTCTCACGATAAATGATGTTTTCCATTTGTCTGCGATCAACTAATTTTTGGGGCAAATCCCCACTCAATATTTGTATCAATGACGATGACTCGTATTTACTTATGAACATGTAAATGAGAGGTTGTGCCGACATGTAATAAGGACCAACTTTCGTGTGGCTTTAAGCATTTTTCCATGGCTAGAAAGTAAGCATGCAACACGTATCAAACGTGGTGCACCATTTTTTCGTTTAACTTTTCGTTTGACCAACTCATTTTACATACACGTAATGCTTCGAGAAAGAAAAGATCGGAGTTGCTCGCATGAACAAATTTATGACGATTGACATAGAAATATGAAATCAAGGAGAGAGAGTCAATATTGGAGGTTTCCGTCGGCCGAAAGGGCGGCTGCTGCTTTAATTGCTGCAAAACGAGGATCCCATTTGTTGCAGTGAAGGGTTCGAGTATAGCGGGAAATGGAATCGTACACAAATGATCACTGTAGAAAAAGAAATATGTTTTGCGTGACAAAACAGCATTAGGTCAGTTGGGTTAACGTACTCCATCGACATTTCGTCATCCCAAATAGTTAGTTTTAAAATATCAGTAGAAAAAGAATATAAATTTATTCAAATATCAATGACCGCTACCTTCGTTTTTCTAATCCCTGTTGTATTGGAAGTTCTAATGAAGCCGAATTGCGAGTTCCCAACTTTCTACTTTGTAACTCTTGTCAATGTTTAGTCTCTGTGCATCATATTAAAATGGTTACAAACCAGCTAGAAATGTTTTGCTTTAAGGTATTTTAGAAAGTTTCGAGACGAAAACTTCGATCCTACCAACGAACCATTCGATTCGAACATGCACAATGCAGCATTCCAAGTACCTGAAAATTCTAAGCCTCCCGGCACAACCGCTCATGTGTTTAAGGCATTGTTTTCTAATCCATTTCAATCGAACTGTTCCATTTGCATGTCGTCTTTTATAATAGATTCGAATCCGAATCCGGGTGAAGCATATGGTAAATAACCAAGAGGATTATGAAAGTACAATCACCATTTACCAGCTCGAATTTTCTTTCGTTTAACTACAGAGTTCTGTTTGAACAGCCCAAGTGGTATTGTCTCCCATCTTTTATTACAGGCAGGATACATGTTATGCCACATGATCGAGTTATCCAATCAGCTGAGGTCGGAGTTACTCGAGCGTTGGATAATGATGCAGCAGAGAATAACGCAACAAACAAAGGCTCTACTGCTTGATGATAAGCTAGGTTGGCAAATTTTCACGAACTTTGCCTATGTGATTAGAATCATATACATAATGAGGTTTTCACTTTTCATGTTAAGATCCATCTTTGAATGACATAATAATCTTCTTGTTTCAATACTCAATAAGAGATGTCACAAGAGGGCTAAGTTTTTAGGTAATATTGTTAGCATAATCCACATGGTTTCTATTCTGTGTATGATAACTGCAATGACAGTTTGATAAGGTGCAAACTCGAATATATACGGTTACTATTACTACTGCAATATTCGATCGAGCATATATATGTACCAACAACTATTACTACTACACTATATGATCCATTATTACCATGGAGTGACCAAATTAGTGGATTCTTTTGAGCACATCAACCATGTTCCCTTTTAACTACTTACACATCAACCGACAGCCCAAAATCCCATCGAGCTTGTGCTTGTTGCCTTTTCCCGACCGACACTCTTGCCTACAGAATTGCGGCTGCCATCATGGCCTTTCAAACACAAACCAAGTCCAAATTACTCATGTTCGGATACTACAAGAAAGAGCAGGAAAATCTTGTTTTTATCCAGGCTTCAACTTTGAGCAAGATGATGTACACAATTTCAACAACTCGACCATTTCTTTAAACATACGAATCAACTATGGTGCAAGCCATCATCGAATAACCCTGAACTTCCTAACGTTTAACAATGTCCTTCCGGAAACCATGATAGGCCACCTGTTACAGTCAAAGGGTTATATTGCACCTATTTTTAACTTACAAATGCAGTAAGATAGCTTAAACAGAACTTATAGGTGTTACTTGAGTTTCTTTCTTTAAAAGAGCATTCATTTTTAACTCGATATCGGTCTTAGAAGACAACCAGTCTGTGGATTGCTCGGCCTTTTTACGCTCTTCCTCTAACACGGCAACCTGCAAAAATGAGAATCAACAACCATTTTTATGATAATTAAAACACTATTTTTTTCTGTAAAAATAAAGGAAACAATATTCAAGCAAAATAAACTAAAGGAAAGAAAGCCCATTTTTAACTATATAAAATATATTGGAAATTCAGTGTTATTCTTGATTTATTGAATACATGACAATCTGGGTAAACAGGTGTTAATGGTTTAGCTCCAGATTAGTCAAGATTATGAGAGTGAAATTAACAGTGACCAAAAAACCTAAGCTAGAAGCCTAAAACGACCAGAAAAAGGACACATACGTATAATTGTACGTACATACATAAAGGTTACATACGTATATTTAGAGACTTACCGGGGTATAGCGGAACTTGCGCTTTGGGGGCTGCTCATCGTCCTCGCCGTCGACGGAAGACCCGGAATTAGCTAAGGAAAGTGGGGTCCACCTACAGAGCAGGACGCTGGAAGCGGCGGAACCTTGCCCACCGGACTGGGAGTGTTTAGCGGTGGATGAAGGCGACAAGTGAACCCACTTCTTCTTCCACTTCCTCACCGGACCATTGAACACCGCCGTCGAACCACCGTAACGAGCAGAAGCTCGACCAAGCCTGGTGGAGCCCACTCCTTCCATCTCGAGATTCCAAGTCTCGAGATAAGAGTATCAGGTTGCTGTAACCCACAGGGGAGATGAAAAGCAGAGATTTTTTTTGAGAGTGAAAGCGGAAGTGTCGAATCCGTTTTGTACGGTTGTAGGTGTTCGGGTTCGTTTTCTGTATTTAAAAACAGACAAGGCACAAGAGAATTTAGACAATTAATCAAACTTTGAACCAGAACGGCGTCGGTTTAGTTCGGTCGTTTTTCCCTTTTCGTACTTGTGATTAGGTGGTAATAATTAAGCATTAATAAGGTGTTACAAGAATAAAAAGGGGTTTAAAAATTTAAGGGTAAAACTACGATGGAGGTCACTTTTATTTTCGCTGTTTTAATTTAATCACTGAAATTAAAAACAATTATATTCTAATCACTTACATTATTGATATATTACATATTTGTCACCGAACTGTCAACTCTCGTTATATCGATGACATGACATGTTAATAAAAAAAATTGATTTTACTTTTAAATTTTAGTTTTAGACAACATATAGATTTAATTTTTGAATTTTCTCACTCTTTTAATTTATACTATCATTGTTCTCGGTCGAGTTGCTCCAATCACCTGATGATGAAATCGGACAAAACTCTCTCTTCCAAGATGGTTTTGCATGAGTTCTTGTGGATGGATATGGTAATATGAACATGATAGATGTCAAGGCCATACCCAAGACAGATTTTCAAAACGGCAACGTTTTCCCCTTCAGTTTTCTTTATATGTGAAGAGTATAGGTAATTTCTTGAACAATTTTTATATTGTTTTGTTCTTTAAGGTCATTTGGTTCAAGATAGTCTTGTTTACAATTTCTTGATATCAGGTTTTGTTTCCATACCTCAAACTTTTATGGTGATAGCTGTTTGCTTTGTTAGATTCATTTTCAATGCTGAAATATGTTTCTATTTGGGTTTTCTATGTAGCGTTCATCCGAGGAGCTCGCGAACGAGCCGCAGAACTCGATCGCTGAATTCAAACGACACAAGCAAGAAAACGAACAAACATTTTTCGAAACATTGAGTTTTCTGAAGTACTGAGTTTGCTAAGGTACCCATGTTCTTGTCTTTCTGATCATAAACATGAATGTATCTTCCTACTCATTGGTGCCATAAGACAAAGTTCACTAGCTGTGAAACTTTACCTAGTCGAAGAACGAGGGATCATGCAAGAGACCTCTGTAGACTGTAACCGAGTCTAATCCTCACCGGAAAGAGACAAAGTGTTGCAATATTCTCCTTCATGAGCGAGAAATATCGATCGGATACCTTCAAAGTGTATTCGAATAAACTTCAATCTTGTCCTATCACTCTCTCCTGCAGTATCTGTCCTAGTTTCGTATATAGTACTAGCTGCTCTTCCAAAGAAAGGCTACTTAATACCTGGCGCGGAAGGAAAAGAACAAACATAAGATCATACTCGATTCACGTCTGAAAAGAAAATGAGAACGTTATACGTGGCTACCTCGCTTAGAATCGTCTCAACCGTATAATCTTGGGGAACGACAAACGATTGATGATAGATATATGCAAAAACAGCCATTACCATCTGGAAAGTACCGAATAAAATCGTATTTAAAAACAAAATAAAGATACTCGGATTGAGCTCTTAACTCGACGTCCAAGAAATAAGAAACAAACTAGTCACGGACAATAGGGAAATGAATTCAAATATGCTAATCGATATACAGAAGATTAGGATGCCATCATGTTTTAGGAATCAAGTCATAGAACTATAGCAGCTTACCTGGCAGTCCATTCGGTCGGTAAGTCCGCCATGTCCGGGTATACTATCACCAAAATCCTGTGTCACCCGAGTAAAGGTTGATCGATGAGGTCAGAAGGGGCACGACAGAGTTAAACAGTTTTACAATTTATACAGCACATTAGTGAATAAAATGGTCACCTTAATCTTAAAAGCTCTCTTGAAACCACTAGCGAAAAAGCCTCCGAATGGTGCAATAACTGATGCAAATAAGCCCAGCAATAAAGCAATTGAACTGGCAAGATTGCTATCTTGGTCCACGGCAACTGCAACATATTACTGAAAGTAAATTACTGAGCTGATCATATTTTGTTAACAGATTAACACATAAATAATTGCAATATCACTAGGCAACTAACTGCATTCACTGTCCACAAGCTCGGGGATCACTAGTCCATTTTGTTCTCTTACATGCAAACCATTAGGTACAATGTTGCTAGTGCCGTATTGTGACTATCAAGACAACATCCCATTGTCAAGGAAAATTTATGGATGACGGTCAATCATACGTGAAAGAAATTTTTTTCATCTAATCCGACAGTTCATGCTCGTGTTTTTAGTTGCCTCACTCACCCATGGCAACAAGGAATAATACTCTGGCTTAAAAAGAGGACCAGGATCGCAGTGAAGCCAACCAGTTGATAAATCCTGCATGCATTTCAGTGATATAAACATTATCAGAACGGTAAAACATTTTTTTCATTTAAAGATAAATGCATTCCATTATGTGTTACCTTCCTTGGACACGTCAGCCACAGAAAACTGCCATAGATATTTGCAAGCTGCATGAAAGAAAGTGAAGAGATTAAGTCGCAACTATATCAACAATATATCGCGACGGAACCTAAGTTTGTTGAGAGATTCAATCCGGTTCCCATTGATAAAGTAGATGTTCACAACAATTATTGCAAGTTTTGTTTTCAACAATAATCAGATAACCCGTTAACCCCCAGATGATCAAAAGCACTTTGGGATTAGACTCAATTGACAGATTTGTAAACACCTATTTCACATGCACATGCTGACGTATCGTTTTCACCATTAAAGGCTTATACCTCAAGAATAAATCTAACATCAACTAAACAAAAACGAACCATGAATCAGGAATCTTTATCTTTTTCTTCTTCCCAAAAAAAGAAAGTTGAAGATTATGTCATACTGGCATCATAAAATTTCTTACCAAAAATGCTGAAATGGTAGTTGCAACTGATGCACCGAGGAAACCCTCCCATGTTTTCTTAGGAGATAACTTGATCAAAGGAGTTTTCCCGAAGAAAAAACCAAAGAAATATGCTGCAACATCATTGACAGCAATTAGGGATGCTGGGAGAAGGAACCTGCATAAAAGAAAAAAAATCAATTAATCGGCAATAAATGGTCTGTATTATTTATGGAAGTACAAATAAAATCAAAGAAGCAACTAAGAAAGCTAAATTCGTTTGCAAGTTACCAGAAGATGCTTTCAAAAATGTTGGCCACGGTAAATGCAGACTGAGTGAAAACAACAATGAGTATCATGTGTGTCCATGCAAACTGCCCAAATTGATACTTGTACATCTTCTTTAGTGTAAGAATGAAGCACATGACACCTGAATCCGAAAAAAATTGAGACCCTTTCATCCAGAATGGAATATAAGTTCAAAGCTCGATAAGGTAATTGCGGAAATGAATATAACAAGGGAATGCAGAGAATGTATGTCGTGCTTCTTTCAAAATCAAAACAAAAACAAACCTGCTATGTATAAGAAATAACAAATAACCATCTGATACTTGATGAGCCTACTCACAAGCCTATAGAAGATTTTATCTGAAGTTACTGTATTCACGATCCGGTGACTGAGAATGCGACCGTATACGAAGAGAATAGCCGTAAAGTAAAAGTGCCTGCAAGGCCATAAAATGCCACCAGATATCAGTCTTTTTAGGCACTTACTACAAAATGAAACTTGCATTGTGATTGTTCATACCAGTTCAAGAGCCTAAACCCTGGCAGGCATTTATCTTCATGAGCTTTTCTGAGTAGATTGAAGAGCTCCCTTGCCATGAATATTTGGATAGTAACAACCATGGCCAAGATATAAAGATGACCCATATAGATAACCAAGAGGAAGAGCCCCAACATCCATATAGACGAGCATGCTCGAACCCACATTGACCGGTATTTGTTGAGATCTTTTGCAAGTAAAGGATGTCCGTTTGTTTTGCTTGTATCAGCAGGAAACTGCTTCCAAAGAACAACGTCACGGTACTTTCATCACTCGAGGAGAAATTGAAAGAAAAAGGGACCTTAACACTTATAAAGCACGAATGGCACATTACAATGCATCTCTAATTCTAACCATGTCTCGAAATTCATGATGAACATAGGCACACAACATAGTCGAAATTAAGTGAAAAGAACAATCCTTGCAAAAAATATTGAACCAACCTCCAGGATAATCTGATGAAAACTCATTGCCACCGAACAAATTACCGACAAAATCGAAGTATCAAACGATTAACTGAAACATAAAGCTTGAAATTTATCTCTTTCATTCATTGATAAGAGAGTCCATATGACAAACATCTAGAAACATACATAAACAAGCCTAAGCACCAAAAATAGACAGACATAACAAGAATGAGGCATATACGAACCTCATTGGACCGCCTCCGGTGCCAAGCTCGAGCACTAGTAGGTGTATTTGGTGCACTGTTATCCTTTTGCATCGTTCTTCTTATTTTTATATTGACACAATATAAACAGACCCCTGCTTACCAATCAGACATTTCCTTGGATTAAAGCAAAGAAATGGTGTCAAGCAAACAAATGAAATAAACTCAGAATTCAGAAACTATGGAATCTAATGAATTGTTCTTTCTTATATTATGTTAAATTATGTTATTATGAGATGAATGAACACACATTGATGGATTCACGATCAAGTAAGAGTAGATATCATTTTAAATATAGTTGAATATATTAAGGGGAAAAAATAAATTTTTTTGCATAATCGTTTTATTGAAAAAAGAGTATTAAAAATTTTGTACTTCCATTTTTTAATTTCTAAATTCGTCATTGGTAGATATGTACTCACCCTAAAATATCTGAATATTCTTTAGGTAATTATTTATTTTATTAATTGTGTTCATCTTGAAATTTTATTTTTACGCATTTTGATATTTAAATTTTCTTCGAGTAATTATATATTTTATTGATCTTGGCCATCCTGAATTCTTTTTGTATCCACTCTTTCAACAATTTTACGTGGTTAATATGTATATGTATGTATCCACTCTTAAAAATATTTTTGAATTCGTTACTGAGCATACAACATAAAAAATTCAAAATATAATTAAAATACAAAATTTGACAAA